TTTTTTTTTTTTTTTTTTTTTTTTTTTTTTTTTTTTTTTTTTTTTTTTTTTTTTTTTTTTTTTTTTTTTTTTTTTTTTTGTTGTTGTTGTTGTTGCAATGACTGATCTTGTATAACATAGCAGTACCAGTTAAGTAAGTGGCTAAACAAGAGGAGCATGAAAGGAAACATGAGGGATTTTGAACGAGCCGCCGCAACGAATGGAAGGACAAGCTGAAGATGCTTTCAACTGTTTCTTATAACGTAACGGAGAGTGGCCCTGCTTCAGTGAAAAAAGCTGAAAGGATATGGAACTATCTATGAAGCTTCAGGGAAAAGCTGAAAGGATATGGAACTATCTATGAAGCTACAGGGAAAAGCTGAAAGGATATGGAACTATCTATGAACCTTCAGGGAAAAGCTGAGGCGTTGCGCATCTGCTCAGATCACATCGCCCTTCCTATCCCAGGCTATAGGCTGTAGCTGATTTTGTTGTTGTAATTGTGAATGCAGATGATTCATGCTCAGATTTTACCATGGATGAGGCGTTGGTGATGAGGCTCCATCAAGAGGTGGAAGAAGCTGCCCAATTAACAATGAAGATGCACAACGAAACAGAAGGGTTGAGGGCAGCGATCCAAAGAGCAGATCTTCAAATCAATACCTTGAATGCAAGACTTTTTGATGCGCTCGCTGTAAACAGGACTCTTGAGACCAAAGTAAGTACGTGCTTCTCCCGGCCCCTTTTTGGACAGGGGAACATCCTTCCGCCTCGGTGCGAACTCGCAACTTGGAGGTCGATATCCACTTACCTCCCTCTGATAGCTTCATTCACTTAGCTCTCTGATAGCTTCATCCACCTGGGTTTGAATTTTGAACCCGCAACTATGACAGCTTTGTGTAAGTGAGGGTAAAGAAAGAATTCCGTTCTCATGTTGCTGGGATTTTCCTGCCAGAAGCATTCTTTTTCTTTCCTTCTCTTTTCTTTTCTTTTCTTTTTTTTTATGTGGCCCGATGGACCACGGATCGCATATGAAACTGATCAAAACCATTCTCTGCTTTGGAGGTAACCTCTTTTTTTAACATGTTTCTGTGCAGTTATCGTGCTGAGATTGTTACTCGAGCCTGGGACTTGTTAGCTAGCATTCACCGCAAGGGACCTTTTTGCTCGAGCCTGGGACTTGTTCAGTCCAAGAAGTTTGAGATGTTCCATAATTTGCGCTAGGTCAACATTCGTTGCATTTCTGCGTTTTTGTCTGAGAAACTGTGTTCTGAGATTTGTGCATACCAAGTGTGGGTTGTCTGTGTCCTGATAGGAATCTCTGGGTTCTTGCCTGAGCCTCGGTAGGGGACTTACCTGTTAAAGCCCCAGTACACGGCCCCAGCCGTGCAGAAAAAGAAGTCTGTTGCCTATGAAATTTCCGGAGGCTGCGGGGTACTGGACCACAATGGCTGGCGGCGCCAGCCAAAAAAGGAAAAAAGTGCGGCACTGGCGGTTCCGAAAAGCTCGGCGCACAGTGCAGCGCCGCCAGGCCCGGGTGTACTGGTGGTTCGAAGTGAGAGCCTTGAGAGGTAGGTGTGACATTTGGTCGAGTGGATGAAAAGGTAAGGTTATGCTTGGACAGAATTGCAAGTTGGACGGACTACTAGTAAAGACTTAAAGGTAAGTCCCTAGAGGCCAGTAGGAATTTTCCAGCAAAGTCCCGAGAAGAACTCAAAACACACACACACACACACACACACACACACACACACACACACACACACACAAAACACACACACAACACACGCGCGCGTGCACACACACACACACACAGACACCGGGCTCGTACTAGCGAGCTATTCTTTTTTTGTGGTTGGATATGTTTTGCTGCTTGGTTTATTGTACAGGCCTAATTTTTTTCGCTGCTTTAGAGCATGGACCGTCTTTTCGGTAGGGAATGTCTGTGGGTGGCCACGAGTATTTGGGGTGGGAATGTATGTTTGGAGTTTTGGCCACAATATCTTCGCGAGGAGGCTCAAAGAGTGTTTCTGTGGGCTTCATTCCCACGTGCTGCTTTTTCGGAGCACATTGGAAGAAATGGGGGCCTCTAGGATGTTTTAAGCAGTGGCGCTCCTGATGTTGCGTGAGGATCTTGTGGAGTTTGGGATTACGGCACTCTATACACTTCAGGGCTAGACAGCAAAGTGAAATGGAGGATGTCTACATTGTCTAGCCATGGAGTGATAGAGACTGTGGTGACGTGAGTGAGTCGTTTGGGATAAATGGCAGTTGTGCTTGTGTAATTTATTTTGTAATTAAGTGATAGAGATGGTGGTGACGTGAGTGGGTCGTTTGGGATGAATGGTAGTGCCAATGCTGTTGTGCTTGTGTAATTAATTTTGTAAATTTGTAATTAATTTTGTGGTTTTGTGGGCCGATTTGGAGGGCTCTCCGAGTTTTCTTGGACCTTTGGGGGATTGGGTCGGTGCTTTCTTGCTGGTGGATTCTTCTGTTTTAGGTAAGTTGCCTTTCGCCCTCCATTCCTTTGTGGCCTACGAAATATATGTGTACATATGCATATGTGCAAGTGTGACGCTTCGGCGGCAGACGGGTGTGTGGGCACTTGGCGCTAAACCATACAAACGTGGCCGACCTTGCTTTTTTACTATAATCTTGCCTATCTATACTTTCTTTGTTTTCTTGATGGTTTATGATCATTCGCGGAGGAATGAGAGAGAGAATTTGGGTGTTTTTTTTTTTAACACACAGATCCTTACGGCTCAGCGGAGCGTCAGTCGCATTCCTATTCCACCGGCAAGTCAGAAGTACAGCTTACCCTTACTCCAACGCTTCTCCCCTTTATGGTAGAGAAGTCCAGAGCAGAACTGAACCGATAGGCCTAAGTGAACTTCACGGTCTTGTACTGTTTATCCGGATGGAGAAGAAGAAGGATTGCTATGGTTCTGAGAGCACATCACAGACTGAGCTGAAGAGTCATCGTTTCCGGCCATCGTGAGCAGGCAGAATACTGCTAAAGGTGGGCAGTTACGTAGGCCGAAGAGCCCAGTAGTTATTCGGAGTTCCGGCAGCAAAGAGCAGCGGTACTACTGCCAGCACAATGCTGCCCTGCTGGAATGGGTGGTAATACTTGTGCTAGAAGGCCAGAGGAGGAAGGGGCACTCTCCTGGATATGGCAGATAGATGCCAGCCATGGCAGCACCTTGGTAGCTGTGGCACTGCTCTTCTCCAAGCTCCAGTGTTGAGGGCTACTTGGTAGGATATACCTACAGTCACACCTGGCACAAGTTTGATTGTGTTCCAAAGACAGCAGGCTACGACGGACATGGTATCGCAGAGGTTACTTACCTGATCAAGCGTGTGACTTCAATTTCTCAAAGGTGTTGCCACATCGGAGGACAGGGCGGGCTTTATCTTTTTTCCTTTTTTTTTTTTTTTTTATCCACCGTTTCTCGATGTATGTGTGTCATCCTTGTGCAGGGGCCATGCTAATCAGGGGCTTCTTGCGCAGGGACAATCTGTATTTGTTGTGGCAAGAAAACAACATCATTTTGTAAGAAATCAGTGACATCAATCATGGCATGGACCATGGTGCCGTTGTCCCACAGCTCCCAGTGGTCAAAGGCATGTACAATGGCCATGTAATGGCCAGGGCCGTGCACAATGCAGACAGAGATGTGGGATGGAGGATTAAACCACTCACCTGCTCGAGCATTGCGTAGTTCAAGTTGACGGTCCCTCMTTGCTACTTGTAAGACAGCAATGGTAAAGCCTCCTTCGCTGGTATAATTACAATCCTCTGGTTGGAGTTGGGGAAGATCAGCATCAAGCTGAAGGGCGATTGCAAGGAAGTCTGATGGTGTATAAAACGGGCGGTGGAGAATGTGAAAACAGATATTAGTTGTCGTCAGACCATAGAGATTGGTGAGGTTCTCAGGCTGGTTTGTTGGATACTTGCCAACAATTTGCAGATCACCCAGATGGTGTTGCAAGCCCAAACTATGTTGGGTTGTTTGCTGGTCAGTCACTTGCAGGTCACTCATGTGGTATGCACGTGGCGGAGCACAAAATTGTGGTTCATCCGAACAATGCTGGTCAGCCATTTGCAGATCCCCCATGTGGTCTATGCCTTGTGGGGTCAATTGCAAACCGGGCAGATCATGTTCCAATCCCTCAACGTTTAGGGCTGCATCCTGAGTAGAGACTGTACCTGGAGTCGGGAGTTTACTCTGGGCAGCGACTGCATCCTGAGTAGGGACTGTACCTGGATTCGGGAGTGTACTCTGGGCAGGGACCACATCGTGTTGTACAGGTGAATCGTGAATATTCTAACTCCACAGGGTACCGTGGCTGCCTGCAGGCAGCTGGACTGTCTGCGGGAGGCATAGGAGCGGATGTATCCGTTTGGGACAACGGAACCGCAACAACCCGTGGAGGAGGCACAAAGAGAACCGGGGCAGACAAAGAAATAGGTTGCTGATCCCCGGACAAGTGACGATGCCGCAGATGTCGTCGGTGATACACAACAAGAGGAGTAGCGGTGTTGCAAATAGAAGATAAACTTGTACCTAGCAACGAAGGTGGAGCAATGGGAACAATGGAAACTGGAGAGTCTGTTCGCAAGCAAGACCGTGGAGGAGATGCGGGTGGTGAGGAGGAACGCAGCCGTCTACGGCCAGGCACAGACAAAGATGAGAGGGGGGTGGATTGGGCAAGATTTCGGAGCAAAGGACATGAGCGTCGGAGAGATTGTGATGTTCTTTGCATTGGAGCTGCAGGACAGGAAGCTGTAGCAGTAAAAACTAAAGTAGGGGGAATTATAGTTAGGGAAATTGATGTACTGAAAACTGTTGTAGTGGAAACCGCAACAGCGGAAACTGGAGCAGTGGAAACTGCAGTAGTGGACACTGCAGCAGTGGAAACCGCAACAATGGACACTGCAGCAGTGGAAACTGCGGTGGCAACAGATGAGCAAGCAGGGGCAGGACAAAAGCATCGTGGGGGCGAAGAAGAAATTGGATGATACAAGGACCATCGCAGCATGCTTCGGAACCACTGAGAGAGATGCTTCACATGCGTAGGATAGCGACGTTGGGGGGAGCGCATGTAGTAGGTCCACCCCTTAGCAAGGGTTGGTGGGGAATGCCCATGTGAAAGCATACGACGAGTAAGTGTTGTTGCCGCAGTTTGAAAGTCCTGCCAATTGTTACAGATTTGTTCAAATCTGGCCAATTGCCCAGTGAACACACCAGCCGGTTGATGGGAAGGGATGTTGGAGGTCGCACTTGGATAACGAATGAAAGGGAAGTCCCAAGCAACCGCTTTATCAAAGACGCTCATGTGAAGCGAGTCATTAAAACGGACCCGTAAATGCATACCTAAAAATGTACAAGAGCCATTTGTAGTTGTCGTCTCCTTCCACTCAAGCCCATAGTGCTCTGGTGGAGGAGGTGATTGTCCCCATGAAAGAACATCATCAATGAGCCGATAGGTGAAGGCATATTGTTGAGCAGCTTGAAGATCATGTTCACGAATGTCATCAACAAAGCGTGCTTCAGCCCAATACAATGTCAAATTATAGTTTTTTGGGCCAGCATTCGTTCCCATTGGAATACCAATAATTTGTTTCCGAAGCGTGTCAATCTCTCGTGTATAGAAAAGTGTTTTGTACAACAAAGCGAAGATGTTGGAGAATTTGAGAAACAGAAAGGGTATCCGGGCCTGAATCAGTTGTCCATTGACCACAACGAGGTCCTCGAATAACCATGTTGAGGGCAACACAGCGTGAATGTGTGCGAGCATGCCGAAGGGCATAAGCAAGAGCTTCATCAACAACTTTTGCCACATTATTCAGAATGCGGTCATGAGGAAGGTTGGTGTACATTGTGATAAAATCAACAGTGCGAGGAGAGAGGCCACGAAGAGACGATTCATTGTTTTTCAGGTCAATCGCCACTTCATCGGCACTCTGAACGATCCAGCACCGTCGAACACCAACCTGTTGATAAAGCTCAGTGTCTTTCTCGTGAAGAGTAGAGATCAGTCCTTGCAAAGTAGCGTTGAGATACGACAAAGTAGTCGTTGTGCTAGCTAAGGGTTTGTGAGGAGGCCGTTCATGAATGGTGCAAATTGTTGGACGAGGGCGAGCACGCGGGGGAACAGCAGTGTTATTTTGTGTTGTGACTCCAAGAATGTTGCGAAGAGCTGGAGGAGACTTGTGAGCTTTGAGTACATAGTAAAGGTAAGGTAGGGTATCAGTGTAGGTGTAACCCCAATGGTGATGGGAGCATCAGTCCAGTTCCTATTCCACTGGCACGTCAGAATAAACTGTGGCATCATGAGACACACTCACGCTTCCGTTTGTCTGGCCGAAAGAACCCCGACCAGCATTGATTACTCCAGCATCGTGGAGGATTGACTGTCAGCTTGCCTTACTTCCACGGTTCCACCTTGTTTTGACATTAAAGAAAAAAGAACAGAAGAATTCACAACAAGTAATTAATATATACCGGAGTAAACCATGGTAACCGTCCGGACGTCCGGACCGGGTTCTAGACAGTCCAGTGTCCGGTGTCCGGTCCTGATGTCCGGATGGAGGCCCCTCGGGCAAAAATCAAAAAAAAAAATGGGGCGACCCAGGACGTTTATCGGGTCCTAGCCGCCCGTCAAAAAATAACGGGGTGATTTTTCAGTGTCGTTTCACCCCACCGGACCGGGCCTAGAGGTCCAGACACAAGACACTGCAGTTTTGGGGGGTGGCGGGTTTCACACAGGCCCGAGCAATTTCAAAGCGGCCGTTTCGACGTGGCACCCGCC